GTCTCGCTAAGTTGCCCAGGTGGGTCTCGAACCTGCGGGCTCAGGCAATTCACTCACCTCAGCCTCCCAAGGCGCGGGATTACAGGCTAAGCCACCGAGCCTGGCTCGAAAAGTTTTTTAAAAGTGATATTTCCATTAGAGTGAAACAAATCACTCATCTTTTCCCCGCTGGAGTTTCTTTAGTTATAAATCCATAAATTATTATTTTAAAAATGCAACAACACAGTCAAACACACAAAAAACGCATTAAAGCTTAAAATTTCAGCCAGGCTCGGTGGCTCAGCCTGTAATCCCGCGCCTTTGGGAGGCTGAGATGAGTGGATTGCCTGAGCCTGCGGGTTCGAGACCCACCTGGGCAGCGAGACCTCATCTCTACAATAAATCAAAAAATCAGCCGGGCGTGGTAGCGCACGCCTGTAATTCCAGCTACTCGGAAGGCTGAGGCGGAAGGATCGCTGGAGCCCAGCAGGTCGAGGCTGCGGTGGCCCGGAGTGGCTATTGCACTCAAGTTCTGGGCGACAGAGTGAGACTCCAACTCAAAAAAAAAAAAAAAATAAAGCTTAAAATTTCACTCATAATTCAAGCCATTTAGAGAAAATTCCTGTGACATTTTATGTTCTGTATATTATTTAAAATTATTTTACCATAGGCATGTCACTGATTTTTAAAAAAGAAATCAAAATGTAACCAGGCTTCATATTTCTTTCTTTCTTTTTGAGTTGGAATCTTATTCTGTCACCCAGGCTGGAGTGCAGTGGCATGTTCATGGCCATTGCAACCTCGACCTGCTGGGCTCAGGTGATCCTTTAGTCTCAGCCTTTCAAGGAGCGGGAACTACAGGTGTGCGCTACCATGTCCGGCTAATTTTTTGATTTATTGTAGAGATGAGGTCTTGCCAAGTTGCCTAGGTATTATAGGTGTGAGCCACTGCACCCAGCCCACATTTTATATCTAACAGTTATATTTTTTTTAATAGGTTCTCATTCTGTTTCCCAGGCTGGAGTGCAGTGACACGATCACGGCTCACCGTAACCTCGAATTCCTGGGCTCAAATGGATCCTCCTGCCTCAGCCTTCTGAGTAGCTGGGAATACAGGCCCATGCACCACCATGACTGGCTATTTTAAAAATATTTTTGTAGAGACAGTATCTTGGTATGCTGCCCAGGCTTGTCTTGAATTCCTGGGCTCAAGCGATCTTCCCGCCTTGGCCTCCCAAAATGCTGGATTATAGGCATGAGCTATTGCACCCAGCCTTAACAGCTTTATTGAGCTATAGTTGATGCGTAATAAACTACACATATTTCAAGTATCCAATTTGATGTTTTGGCATATGTGCCCTCCTGTGAAACCATCTCCACAGTCAAGGCAGTGAACATACTACCCATCACTTCCAGAAGTTTCCTGTGTCCATTTGTCTTTCTTCTCTCTCACCTCTGTCCCCCAAAGCAACCACCAATTCTTTCCGTTACTACAGATTAGCTTCCATTTTCTGGACTTTTGTATGAATAGAATCACATAGTTTGTACCCCTTTTTTGCCTGAATTCTGTCACTCAGCATAATTTTCTTGAGATTCATCTATTTTGTGTGTTTCAACAGTTTGTTTCTGTTCCTTGCTGAGTGGTATTCCATTGTATGGATATATCACAATTTGCTTATCCATTCACTGTTGATAGACATTTAGATTGTTCCTACTTTTTTCATTAAAGTTACCATGGACGTTTGTGTACAAATATTTTGGTATATTTTTCCTTTTTATTTATTTTTTGAGTTGGAGTCTCACTCTGTCGCCCATGCACAGCCACTGCAACCTCGACCTGCTGGGCTCAGGTGATCCTTCTGCCTCAGATTTCCAAGTAGCTGGAACTACCATCACGTGCCACCACACCCGGCTAATTTTTGATTTATTGTAGAGATGAGGTCTTGCCAAGTTGCCCAGACTGGTCTTGAACCCATGGGCTCAGGCAATCCTCTCACCTCGGTCTCCCAAAATGCTGGGATTTTAGGCGTGAGCCACTGCGCCTAGCCTATATTTTCTTTTTAAAGGTCAGTATCTTGGAGTAGGATAGTTGGATCATATGGTAGGTCTATGCTTCACTTTTAAAGCAACAGCAAACTGTTTATCAAAGTGATTGCACCATTTTCTGTTCACAGTAGCAGTGTGTGGAGTTTCAGTTACTCTACATCCTAACCAACTCTAGCATAGCTGGTGTTTGTGGGTTGGTGGATAAATTCACTTCTTTTTTCTTTTTGAGTCAGAATCTCACTCTGTCGCCCAGGCTGCAGTGCAATAGCACAATCACGGTCACCACAGCCTTGACCTGCTGGGCTCAGGTGATCCTTCCACCTCAGCCTTCCAAGTAGCTGGAGCTACAGGTGCAAGCCACTACACCTGGCTACTTTTTTTATTTATTGTAGAGACGAGGTCTCACCAAGTTGTCCAGGCTGGTCTCTAACCCCTGGGCTCAGGCAGTCCTCTTGCCTTCACCTCCCAAAGTGCTGGGATTGCAGGCATGAGCCAATGTACCTAGCTGGGTAAATTAATTTCTTCTTTTGAATTTCTGAATGTCAGAGCTGACAGAGCCCTGAATAACTGATCAGCCCAACCCCTCACTTCATTGACTGAGAAGGGGAGGAACTTGCCAAGGTCCTGTAGCCAACCAGTGACAGAGCCAGTGGCTGGACAAAATTACTGCTAAGCTCTGTTTTTGTTCTGTCTGTGATGCTTCTACTTAGAATATTTAAATAGAAAACTCCTTCACCCAGTATACACCTTTTAAAATCTAGTGCTTTCAGGACAGCTAGTGTAGTATAGAGAAAACAAGTTGTTTTGCATTTATGCTTGGTCTCTGTTTCTGGGATATCGGGGCACATGGCACCCCTTCTCCAGTCAATGAAGCTGACAATACAAATGGTTGAATGTGCTTTTGGTTCAGAGGCACAAAAGTCTGCCAAAGAACTATAAAACCAAAAAAGATAGCCTAAGAAGCATCAGTACTAACTTGTGTCATCTACATTTCTTTTGCAAAGAGGCCACTAATTAATAGAGGTATGCTAGGGTTTGATGAACGCATATAGCATCTATGTGGAAGTCAAACGCGGGATGGAAGGAAGGGAGAGGATGTCAGAATAAAAAATAGATCATTATGCATAGACACCTGTGGAGTTAGCTATGGCATGGTTGACGGGTTGGGTGGACTCATAGAGGGCTTGGTAGGTCCCAAATATACACCCCAAAAGGCCCAGGATGCTGATCATGATGTCCTTGGCAATGGTGATGCAGCTTATGTCCTCAGAGTAGAAGGTGGTGACCTCCAGGAGAGGCGGGATGATGAGGGCCAGGGCGCTGCTGCTCACGGAACCCACCAGGGAGATGACCAGGTCCAGGCGGGGGATAAGGATGGCTGAGACACCTGCAGCGAGAAGGAACATTTGGAATTACGGAACGACTACATCAAGGGAGCCCGTATGTAAACCACTGCTGTGGGACCCCAGAATTCCACAGATGTCTGAGGGACTGCTTTGGGGAGGTAGGAATGAGCCCACTGTAAGCTTAAGGAGTGGGTCAGGCAATCCTACTCCTGTTTTTTTTTTTTAAGTCAGAGTCTCATTCTGTCACTCAGGTTGGAGGGCAGTGTCATGCTCACAGCTACCGCAGCCTCGATCTGCTGGGCTCAGGTGATCCTTCCACCTCAGCCTTCCAAGTAGCTGGAACTACAGGTGTATGCCACCATGCCCACCTAATTTTTTGATTAATTGTAAAGACAAGTTCTTGCCAAATTTCCCAGGCTGGTCAAGAACCCCTGGACTCAGGCAATTCTCTTGCCTCCGCCTCCCAAAAGTGCTGGAATTACAGGTGTGAGCCACTGCACCCGGCCCCCACTCCTATTTTTACCACCAATCCAGTGGTCTTCTTTTTTATTTTATCTATTGGATTTTTAATCTTTATTAGAAGGGCTACCTCTACTATGTGTCTATTATAACCTCCTAAATGAAGAGATGGGAAATTCTGGAGCTCTAGAGGGAAAAGGACTTGCTCAAGGTCACTCAGAGCTGAGATGAGAATCCTTTGAGCTGCTCGGTTAAGCATCTACACTTAAAAGAACTTGGCACACAGTACATGCTCAATATTTATTACGTGCTTGACTCTTACCCAGATGCTGATCACCCTTTGTACTAACTACAAAATATGGCCTCTGTCTAGAAGCAAGAATGGATAAAAGATACGAGATGCTTCTGTTGTTGTCCAAATCCCAACCACTTATTTTTCTATTCTTAAAAGGATCTTGGTTTAGACACATCCTAAAACACGAAGACAGTATTAGGCTGTCCACCCCCCATCCCTTCTAACCTAACAAACCCTCTTCAATCTCCGTCTCTTATACATATGAGGAACATACGGTTCTCAGATTTCCCAAGGGAATTTAATTTCAATAATGTTTGAATGGGTTAAATATATAATTTATATGATTTAATTTTATACAACCATAAGGTTTTCTTTTTTTTTTTGGTCAGAGTCTCACTCTGTCATCTAGGCTGGAGTGCAGTGGCACGCTCATGGCCACCGCATCCTCAACCTGCTGGGCTCAGGTGATCCTTCCGCCTCAGCCTTCCAAGTAGCTGGAACTACAGGCACGTGCCACCACACCCAGTTGATTTTTTTTTTTTTAATTTCTTGTAGAGATGAGGTTTCAACAAGTTGACCAGGCTGGTCTCGAACCCCTGGACTCATACAATCCTCTCGCCTCTGCCTCTCAAAGTGTTGGGATTGCAGGCATGAGCCACCATGCCCAGCCTAACTATATGATTTTTAAAAACATATTGTTTTTTGATTTATTGTAGAGATGAAGTCTCACCAAGTTGCCCAGGCTGGTCTCGAACCCCTGGGCTCAGGCAATCCTCTCGCCTCCGCCTCCCAAAGTGCTGGGATTACAGGCATGAGCCACCACTCCCAGCTAGACAGAGTCTTCTAATGCAAGGTGCAAGGAGGAGTGGTTCACAAGACTCAGTCCTGCTCATGCCACCTCTCTGCTTAGAGCCCTGCTATGACTCCCTGTCACCCAAGCTCCTAAGCACAAAGGACTTAGGTCCTGCCAGGCTCTCTAGCCTCCTCTCTCTTCACTCTCTGGGGTGTGCGTTTACTTCTCCAAAGAGGCCCTGGGCAAGTACCTGCCTCAGGTCTGTGCACAGCCTGCCTCCTTTCCTTCTCCCTCTTCCTCCCACATATCTTTTAGGTCTTAGCTGAAATATCACTTCACTGGTAGGATTCCCTGGCGTGGCCAGTCTGAGTTATAGGATGCTCGTATGTGGAGAGGGTGTCTGTCACTTACGAGCTTAACCATCATGTGCCATCTTAACATTTGTCACAGTGGACTGTAATTGTTTCCTGGCATTTATTTTGCCACTCACCTGGAAACACTGTGAGGGCAGGAGCTGTGTCATTATTATTATTATTATTATTATTATTTTGAATTGGAGTCCCACTCTGTCACCCAGGCTGGAGTGCAATGGCACACTTACGGCCACCCCAGCATCGACCAGCTGGGCTCCAGCGATCCTTCCGCCTCAGCCTTCCAAGTAGCTGGAACTACAGGCATGTGCTACTACACCCAGCTAAGTTTTCAAAAATTTATTGTAGAGACGAGGTCTCGCCAAGTTGCCCGGGCTGGTCTCGAACCCATGGGCTCAGGCAGTCCACTCGCCCTGGCTCCCAAAGTGCTGGGATTACAGGCTGAGCCACTGAGCCCGGCCGTGTCTTCATTATTAATGATTGTCTTCCTTGTGTTTAGCACAATGCTTGGCATGTAGTAGTTGCTCAACAAATGATTGTTGAGTGAAAAAAGGTAACAGAATTGATGAATGAACAGAGGAGGAGGAACTGGTCATTCAGCATCTTCTCAAAGCAGGACGCATCATCAGCAGGTCAGCTATCGCTAGCCATGCTTTTTCTGGTCCTGAGTGTCTACTCAGTCTTTCTCTTCGACCTATACCTTTCCTATTAGGAATGATCTCAAACACTATATTGACAGGTTCCTGATGTCTTGGTCAGAGAAGGCATCTCTCTAACACCTCAAACCAGGCAGGGGTGCTGTTTCTGCTGATAGAACTGCGTGAGCCTGGACTGAGACTGAGTTCTCTCAGCTTTGCACTCTGACTCCTGGAGGCTTTAAGACTAGATTTGCAGCTCCCTTGCACAATCATCCCATGGGTGTCCAAGGACAAAAAAATTCCCCGAGCCTTCGCTACTCCAGATCGGACATCCCTGGTTCTTTTGCTTGTTCCTCACAGGGCCCTTTTCTGGACCTCTTTGTCTGGACATGGTCCAAAGGAAGATTCCCCAGCTTTTTCATGATGTGTCCCCCAAACCTGCGACAGCACCATGAATGAGTAAATGAATGAAGGAAAGGCGGCATGGAGAAAGGGAGGGAAGAGTGGAGGAGAAAAGAGTGCACCCCAAAATGTTCTCCAAGACTTTAGCAAATCAAGCCCTTGGTGTTTTTCTCTGCGGTTCAACACACTTTGTGATAGGGGGCTTGTTCGTAATTTACCATAGGAGGAAATTTGGCGCGATGGAAACGTAGGCTTTGGTGCCACGCAGACTGTGTTCAGAGGCCAGCTCTGTCACTTAATGTGTGACTTGGGCATGTTACTTCATTTCTCTTGGCCACAGGCACCTCTCTTGGCAACATTACATTGCTAGGCTGTCATGAGTAGCAGATAGATAATTAGATAACGTCAATACAGCGCCTGACACATAGGAAAGTGATTGAATGAACGATACGGCTTGCTCTCATAAACCAGCCCCTGTATACTTTGCGTGGGCATCAGAGATTGCTGCAACGTTTATGACATGGTACTTCTGTGAAGCCCACTTCTCAGGTAGAGAAATGAGGTCCGGGGAGGTGAAATGTCTTGCCCTAGGTCACAAAGAAGGCGAGTGGAAGACCCAGTGATGGTGGGGTGAGAACCAGTGTGGCTCCATCATTGCTTTGGGCAAAGAGCGCCCTTTTATCCTACTCACAGGTCAGACAGACCAAGGCTGTGCGGATAGACAGGTCGACAGACAGTGCCCAGCTCTCTGACACCTGGGAGACGGCGAACGGGATGATGATCTCGGCTGGAACGTGGAACTGGAGGGCATAGGTGAAGAAGATGCCGATGGAGTATAGCAGCTTCACTGACTGGTACAACCTGCAGGCAGGTGGAGAGGATGGAAAAAGGTGACGTGGCTCCCCAGCAGGGCCGCCAGGACCCACTCCTTGCTCGGAAGCTGGTTCAGGTAGAGTATCCCTGATCCAAAAATCTGACATCCAAAATGCTCCAGAATCTAAAAGGTTTTAAGTGCTGACATGACACTCAAAGGAAACGCTCATTGGAGCATTTTGGATTTGGGATTTTCAGATTAGGAATGCCAAGCCAGTGAGTATAATATAAATATCCCCAAACTAGAAAAAGTCTGAAACCTGAAACACATCTGGTCCTGGGCATTTTGGATAAGGGACACCCAACCAGTACACGTCACTGAGTTACAGAACTAGCTTATGCCCAGTGACTCAGGCCAGATCAGCCCTCAGGAAACTCGTGAAGTTCATTAAAAGCACATACTTGGCCAGGCGTGGTGGCTCACGCCTATAATCCCAGCACTTTGGGAGGCTGAGACGAGAGGATTCCCTGAGCCCATGGGTTTGAGACCAGCCTGGGCAACTTGGTGAGACTTCATCTCTACAATAAATCAAGAAAAATTAGCCGGCTATAGTGACACATGCTTGTAGTTCCAGCTAATTGGAAGTCTGAAGCGGAAGGATTGCCTGAGCCCAGCAGGTCGAGGCTGCGGTGGCTGTGAGCATGCCACTTGCACTCCAGCCTGAGCAACTGACTGAGTGAGACTCCAACTCAAAACAAACAAACAAACAAACAAAGCACATGCTCCTGAAGATCCTGAGTCAATAGGTCTGTGACTCTGGGACTTAGGCCTTTGTCCTCTTAATTTTGGAAAAGGGCAATATATGCATAGAGTCAAATTCACAATACAAAAGCCACCAGCAAGGGAGCAAGAGGCATTGCTCCCATCCACTCCCACCCTCAAGTTCTAGTCTCTAGTTTCCCTTCCCCTCTGCAGCCTCCTGGAGTTTTCTTGTGGCCCTGCCAGCAATAATCTGTGTATATACGAACTTACACAGAATGCAGCTACACACACATGCATGTTCACACACACACATACATACATGCATGCACACATGTGTGGCGTCGATCATTCTACACACTGTTGAATTCCTTTTCTTTTTAAAAATGTTTATTTATTTGACTTATTTTGAGTTGGAGTCTCACTCTGTCGCCCAGGATGGAGTGCAGTGGCACACTCACGGCCACCCCGGCATTGACCTGTTGGGCTTCGGCGATCCTTCTGCCTCAGCTTTCCAAGTAGCCGGAATTACAAGCACGTGCCCCCACGCCCAGCTAAATTTTCGGTTTACTGTAGAGACGAGGTCATGCAAGTTGCTCAGGCTGGTCTCGAACCCATAGGTTCAGGCAGATCTCTTGCCTCAGCCTCCCAAAGTGCTAGGATTATAGGTGTGAGCCACTGGACCCGGCCCATCTAGTATTTCTTGAAGATTGTTCCCTACCAGTCTACATAGATCTGGCTCCTCTGCCTCATATTTGTGTGGTAGTCCAATTGCATAGATATGTTATCATTTTTAAAATCAGTTACCCTGTTAAAGTATATCTAGATCATGGCTGGTCTTTTCTCAAGTAAGCAATGCTGCAACAAATATCCTTGTATGTATATCTACACACATTCAGGATATAGCTCGGAAGCAAAGATGCTGGGGGAACATCTACATGGTTGTAAGTTTTGGTAGCTGTTGATGAATCATTGCCCATTTGCTGCCCGGTGTAAGAAAGGACCTGTCTCCAGCGTCCTTGCCAAAACAGGGTGTGACTGCACACTGCTCTTTGCCATTGATTGCAGTTTTTGAACTGGCATTTCTACTATCTTTTTTTTTTTTTTTTTGAGTTGGAGTCTCACCCTGACACTCAGGCTGTCGTGCAGTGGCACATACATGGCCACCCCAGTGTCGACCTGCTGGGCTCCAGCAATCGCTCCGCCTCAGCCTTCCAAGTAGCGCACCACCACACCCGGCTAATGTTTGCTTTATTGTAGAGACAGGTCTTGTCAAGTTGCGTGGGCTGGCCTTGAGCCCTCAGGCTCAGGCAATCCACTTGTCTCGGCCTCCCAAAGTGCTGGGATTTCAGGCTGAGCCACTGAGCCTGGCCTCTATTATCTTTTTAAGCATCTTTTTATCTGGCGATCTGACCTTTTAAAAAAAAAATCTGCCTGGGAACTGTTTGCTCATGCTTTTTGCCCATTTCTTCTTCGGTTGTTGGTCTTCTTCTTATTGGGAAGGGATATTTGTTTAAGGCTCCTCTGGAGAATCTGATGACTTGCCAGGTTCACCCCAAAGGGTGTGAAGCCCTGATGGAGTTCATTGCCCACGATTTCTAGTTGAGGTCCAGGAAGGAAGAAGGAAAGGGCCCTGCCCAAGGGAGCTAGTGGCTGTCCCGATATCCAGAGCAAGAATAGCACGTTAGACTCTCTCACCTGTGTAAAATAAGGCACAAATTTTAATGTATTTACTTGTTGGTTTATTGATTGATTGATTGAGTTGGAGGTCTCACTCTGTCACCCAGGCTGGAGTGCAGTGGCATGATCACGACTCACTGCAGCCTCGACCTCCTGGGCTTAAGCAATCCACTTCAGCCTCCTGAGTAGCTGGGACCACAGGCGTGCCCCACTCGCCTGGCTAATTAAAAAAAGAATTTTTTTTTTTGGTAGAGATGAGGGCTTGCTATGCTGCCTAGGCTGGTCTCAAACTCCTGGTGTCAAGCAATCTTCTTGCCTTGGCCTCCCAAAGTGCTGAGATTACAGGCGTGAGCCACCACATTCAGCAAAGGCACAACTTTAAACTAATTTCACATGTATTATCTCATCCTGTCATCATCACAACACAATGAGGCAGGTGGAGCCGGTGACAATTTCTCATTCTGCAGCTCTGGCCTTGTGGGAAATGCCCTATCCTCCTACTCATCCAGAATGACGTCGGCGGGAGACACTAACACTGGTAATAGCTAACGCGCGATGACTGCTTGCTGTGCGCCCAGCACTTTTCTAAGCATTTTCTATTAAACCAACTAATCCTCACAATTACTCCATGAAGTAGCACAGCAGTCATTTGGGCTGTTCACTAAGTACTTCCGGGAACAGGATGGCGTCACACTCCCTGCCCGCTTGGAGTGAAATGTGGCCCAGCGACCTCCTGTGACTGATGAAGTGTGAAGTGTGAGCAGGATAGAGGCACGTCACTTCCAGAGACGCTTTATGGCTTGGTGGCACGGGGCACGCCTCACTGCTCGGCCCTGGCAAGCAGCAGCATGTTAGAGAGTGGCTGCTGCCACAGTCTGGAAGGGGCAGAACTACGTCCCCGCCATCCCCTTGTGGGCATGGAGCATGAGCATAGCATTAAGCATTTGTGTAGCCTGCCGTGGGGACCTAGGGGTTGCTTCTTACTGGAGCAGAGCCTAGACTATCCTGATGGATGGCAGCTGGCTTTAGTAGTATCCTCATTGTCCTGATGAGGATGGAAGTGAGACCTGCAGTGTCGGGCAGCGTGCCCAAGGGCACAGAAGAACCAAGATGCAAAACCTGTTCGTTAGCTGTAAAGCCTGTGCTCATGGACACAGCTGTAGTCCTGATGTACTCACTGTTGCCGTAACAATGATAACAACTCACGCCTGATGAGGGCATACTGTGTGCCATACCGAAGCGTCTCCTGGATGGATGAATGAATGAATGAATGAATGAACGTTTAAATACAGGAACTCCAGACCAGGTTCCAACAGGAGTACAGCAATGGCAGGCTGGGTCCATTTCCAGGACTGGGGGCCTGCCTGGCAGTCCATCTGTGGGACTCCGATCATGACTTTGGGGTTCTGCTTCTTGTTGCTGTTTCTGTTCCCCAAATGTTCCCAGATCATTTCCCGTTTTTAGAGCTTTTGCATTTCAGGGTCAGACGGATTGGATTCAAGTTTCAGCTTCTTACAAACCATGTGAGCTGGGAAAGTTCTTGCAGCCTCTCCGAATACCAACTTCCATCTATTCAATGGAGTTAATAACAATCATGTTAACAGTGGAGCATTAATAATGCTAATTACGGAGTTGGTAATAATGCTAACTCATAGGGCTGTTGGGAGAATATGGAGAGCCCGGTTTAGCAAACTTGCCTGGTACTATAATTAATACTAATTACTGCCTCGTTGCAAGGCATGCATCCCATGCCTCTCCCTACCCCTGCCCCGGGTGGGTGGGACGTACCAGCAATTGGGCAAGTTGAGCGTGATGCTGGCCTGGGTGTCCGGTCCAAACTTCATGTAGCCCAATGTCCCCAGGCAGATATAGAGGCTGATGACAACCGACATCCCCAAGTACAGAACAAAGGGAAACTGCTGAGGGTGTTTCATCTGGTTTTTGAGAGGAAGAACCTGGAGGTGAAAGAGTTTGGGTAGAACAAGGTGGGAAGAGACGTGGCCCATTGAGAAGAAGCAGGGTTCCCCCCACAGGCACAAGCACCCTTCTCCAGGTGGGCCTGGAATCGGGAAGGGGCCTCTCCACAGGGCTATACCTGCTTCACTTTCTCTTGTGCTTTCTATTGCCAGGAATGGCTTATTCCATGTGGCTGATGGGAAATTCTCATTCATCTTCAGGGCATGGTGTGGCGTATGGACCAGTAGGTGCCCCGTGTGTGGGTACAGACTGTCCCTTCACCAGGAGATCACATTCTGCACTTTTCATAAATACTATTTATTTAGACATCTGGAACTACAATTGACCACCCTAAAGAGCTGTTCACTAGGGACCATTCACTCAAATCTCTTCAGTCTTACCATACCGACGCCTTCAAATGTGAAGATGGCTGTACCAAAGAACAGCAAGAAGGTCTTCCAGTTTGCCATCAGGGGTAGGTCACTGGGATATGGAATTCCCTGAAAGGGAGTAGAAAGGCCTTGGTTTTGCTACAGTGTAGAAGTTATCCCCAGAGCTTTGCCTGGTGGAGAGTTGGGCCACACTTATCCTCAACAGAGGAAATCGGCGTGGGGAGCATCTGTAAAATGTCTAGACCTCCCTCAGCCTTCTCAGCTTTTAAAAAATGGTTGTAGCTCACTTACTTATATTGTGATAAAATACACACATCAAACCTACCATGTTAAGTGTACAATTCAGTGGCATTAAGTACATTCACATTGTCATGTTCCCATCATCACCTTTCATCCCTCAAATTTTTCCATCATACCAAATTGAAACTCTGTATCTATTAAATAATAACTCCCCCCTACCCAGCCTCTTGGTAACCCAAATTCTTTTTTTTTTGAGTTGGAGTCTCACTCTGTTGCCCAGACTGGAGTGCAGCGGCCGCTCCCGGCCACCGCAGCCTCAACCTGCTGGGCTCCGGCGATCCTTCCGCCTCAGCCTTCCAAGTAACTGGAACTACAGGCAGACACTACCACGCCCGGCTAATTTTTTGATTTATTGCAGAGATGAGGTCTCGCTGCCCAGGCGGGTCTCGAACCCGCGGGCTCAGGCAATCCACTCACCTCAGCCTCCCAAAGGCGCGGAATTACAGGCTGAGCCACCCAGCCCGGCTGTAACCCCTATTCTACTTTCTGTCTCAATGAATTTGTCTATTCTAGGTTCCTCATATAACTGGAATCACATTTTTGTCTTTTGTATCTGGCTTATATCATTTAGCTTAGTGTGCTCAAGGCTCAGTCATGTTGTATTAATAGCAAATATGAGCATTTCCTTCTTTTTTTTTTGAGTTGGAGTCTCACTCTTGTCACCCAGGCTAGAGTGCAGTGGCACACTCATGGCAACTGCAGCTTCAACCTGCTGGGCTTATACAATCCTTCTGCCTCAGCCTTCCAAGTAGCTGGAACTGCAGACGCATGCCACCACACCTGGCTGGGTTTTATGATTTATTGTAGAGACAAGGTCTCACCAAGTTTCCCAGGCTGGTCTCAAACCCCCGGGCTCAGGAAATCCTCTCGCCTCGGCCTTCCAAAATGCTGGGATTACAGGTTGAGCCACTGCACCCGGCCCCTTCACCTATTCATCAGTCGATGGACACGTTTAGGGGTTGGGAGCCCTCATTCACTCATCTTTCGATGGACACTTTTTGGCTGTTGGGATTCCTCTTATCTTTACATGTGGAGAAAGCGGGGCACAGGGAGGAGAGGGGCATTGCCCAAGGCCATTCTGCAAGTTAGTGGCACAGCCCAGGTAAGAATTCAGATCTCCAGTTTCCCAGTCCTTGAATCCCTCTCTCCCATCACTTCTTTCAGGGCTGTGCAGTCCACCAGTGGCACAGCAGCTGTCATAGAGCTGGGGGCATGGTTATTGAATAGCCTTCTGAGGGGGGCGGAATAATGGCTCCTCGAAGGCGTTCATATCCAAATCCCCAGGACCTGTGAATATGTTATGTCACATGGCAAGGGAGAATTACATTTTCAGCTTGAATGAGGGTTGCTAATTAGCTGGCTCTAAAATAAGGAGGTTATCCCAGATGATTCAGGTGGGACAAAGATCCATAGAGGAAGAAGGAATCAGAAGACCAGAGGGATGGAGAATGAGAAACACTTGGCCCGATGCTGCTGGCTTTGGAGATGGCTGGGGCCAAGGCATGCAGACAGCCTCTAGAAGCTGGAGGAGGCAAGAAGCCAGGCTCTCTTCCAGAGCCTCCAAGAGAGGAATGTGGCCCTGCTAACACCTTGATGTCAGTCCAGTGAGCCCTCCAGAACCGAAAAGTAAATTTGTGTTGTCTTGAGCCACTAGACTTGCGGTCATTTGTCACAACAACCATAGAAAGTGAATATGAGGGAACCCCCCCAAAAACCTGGAATTACCTTTTGGAGAGCAATCCCCTTGTAGTGCAGGCTTCCCCTGCTAGGTAAGTGTTCTAGGAACCCACCGGCAATGCAAAGCTAGCGTTGTGAGAGACGGCATCATGGAAGAAGCATCCCAAGTTGTAGCAAACAGGTGACTGGTTCTTCCACCATGACAATGCACCTGCCCAGACTGCGCTGAGTGTTCAGCAGTTTTTAATCCCAAATGGCATGACCCCTGTACCCCATCCTCCCTATTCACCCTGTCTCACCCTGAGTGAATTTGTTTTGTCGGATGAAAAAAACTCTCAAAGGGAAACGTTTTGCTAATGTGGAAGAGGTGAGACAAAAAAGAGCAGAAGCAATAAAAGGCATCAAAATGGATGAGTTAAAAACTGTTTTGAACTGTGGAAAAAGCATCTCGATAGGTGTATAGCTCCAAACGGAGAGTATTTGGAAGGTGACTGAAGTTTAAACATGTTAGAATAAATGCACAATTTTTAATAAATAAATTCCAGGCTTTTTTGGGGTGTTCCCCCTGGAGTAACTCCAGAGACTTTCAAACTCAAAATAATGCAACTACAATGGGGGGTTTCATGGCCTGTGATGAGTGTAATATGGACTTGGGAAACAGACTGGCTGAAATTAGTGGGAAAATTACTTTATCAATTTCCTTGTCTGTAAAACGGGAATAAAGTATAGTTTTCCCTTGGTATCTGTGGGGGATTGGGTCCAGGACCTCTTCTGCCTACCCAAATCCACAGATGTTCAAGTCTCTGATATAAAATGGTGTAGTATTTGCATATAACCCATGCCCATCCACCCATATGCTTTAACTATCTCTAGATTACTTGCAATACTTAATATACGGGTAAATGCCATGTAAATAAATTGTTGCTAGACTGTTGTTTTTAAAATATGGATTATTCGGCTGGGCATGGTGGCTCACGCCTGTAATACCAGCACTTTGGGAGGCCTAGGTGAGAGGATTGCCTGAGCCCAGGGGTTGGAGACCGGCCTGGGCAACTTGGTGAATGCTTATCTCTACAATAAATTAAAAAAAAGACTTAGCTGGGCATGTCTGTAGTTCCAGCTATTGGAAAACTGAGTCAGAAGGATCGCCTGAGCCCAGCAGGTTAAGGCAGTGGTGGTTGTGAGTGTGCCACTACACCCCAGCCTGGGCGACAGAGTGAGACTCCAACTCAAAAAAAAAAAAAAAGGATTATTTTTATGGTTGTATTTATTTTTATTTTTCCTCCCAATATTTTTCATCTATGGTTAGTTGAATCCAGGGATGTGGAATCCAAGGATACAGAGGGCCGACTTTACTTCTAAAGTAGTATTTTTTTTTTTTTTAAAGTTAGAGTCTCATTCTGTTGCCCAGGCTGGAGTGCAGTGGCACAATCATGGCTCGCCGCAGCCTCTACCATTTTGGCTCAGGTGATCCTTCCACCTCGGCCTCCTGACTAGCTGGGACTACAGGCGTGCACCACCATGCCTGGCTAATTTTTCTATTTTTTTGTAAAGACAAGGTCTTGCTGTGTTGCCCAGGCAGATCTTAAACTCCTGGGCTCAAGCAGTCCTCTGGCCTTTGCTTCCCAAAATGCTGAGATTACAGGCATGAGCTACGATGCCTGGCCCAAAGTAGCATGATTGTAAAGGGTTAGTGAATTAAAATATGTAAAGATTTTGGCACCAAGTAAATCAAATTCCTTTATCATCTCTGTTTTTATTGTTCATCTACCACTTTCACAATTTTTGTTGGTTATTTGACTGATGTTGATTTTCCTGAGTAAATGCAACCTCTGTGAAAGCAGTCACCCTGTTTTTACTGATCGCCGACTGACCAGCCCCTTGCACAATACCTGGCTCACAGAAGGTATTCAGAAACTATTTGTTGCAATGACTCACTGTTATCCAGTGTGATGATGATGGGGAGGAGGATGATTAGCTTTTATAGCTTGTGGGATGGAAATGTTTCTAGATGTCATGTGGGCAGTGGCTGCTCACAGCAGGAAATCACCTTCTTTTTTTTTTTTTGAGATGGAGTCTCACTCTGTCACCCAGACTGGAGGGCAGTGGCCGCTCCCGGTCACCGCAGCCTTGACCTGCTGGACTCCGGTGATCCTTCTGCCTCAGCCTTCCGAGTAGCTGGAACTATAGGCGTGCGCTACCACGCCCGGCTAATTGGAAATCACCTTCTTTACCTCCACCTGCACGTTATGCTCATTACCCTCCCCAGGTGTCTCAATGACCCAGGACCCTGATCCCTCTCTCCCGTGGTACAGACCTGTATGATATACTCGAAGATCAGAGCTGTGCTCCCTAGGGTGGTGATATTGGCCAGCGTTGAGAAGAAGGACAGCACCTTGAGATTCTGGATAAACACTAGCAGGACAAGGAAGGGCAGGATTGTCAGCATGTAGAAACGAATGTCCAGGATGGGGGTCAGCACCAGGGTCTTCCCGAGCTGGCAGGTGTTGGAGGTCACGTGGGCTTCTTCCACCATCTGACATGGAGCATAAGGAAAGGAAGTGTAGTTAGGGCGTTACGTAAAACACAGGATGCCAACTGCATTGGAATTTCAGATAATTAGCCTAACTCTTTAGTACAAATATGTCCCAAATATTGGGTAAGACATACTCATAGTAAATGAAAATATTCACTACTAGTCTAAAATTCCACTTTAACTGAGTGTCATATATTTTTATTCCCCAAATCTGACAGTTCTAACAGGAGAGCCCATGATTGTGATAACTGAAAATACTTAGAATCATCAACTCTCAAGGTCATGAAGCTGTCTTCTAGCCCAGTCTTCTCTTCCCTACAAAATGGTTGTTTTCTTTTATAAGCCAGAGAAGCGGAGTTCATTCCACAAGAATATCTTCTTCCACTTTCAAAAACCCTAAAAGCCTGGAAGCTCTGAATATCGAGCAAAATCCATCTGCTTGAATATTCCATCTACAATACTTGTCAGGTTCTTTCTGACTGTTTGGGTGCACAAAAATGAGGATGCTCCCTTTAGTACACAAAGCCTAGAAAGAATGCTACGGTTGATTTGTAATGTCTGTTAGGAATGCAACGAGGAGGCTGGGCTCAGTGGCTCATGCCTATAATCCCAGTGCTTTGGGAAGCTGATGTGGGAGGATCCCTTGGGGTCAGGAGTTTGAGACCGGCCTGGACAACATCACAAGAGCCCATCTCTACAGAAATAAAAAAATTAGCCATACATGGTGGCACCTCTATTGTTCCAGCTACTCAGGAGACTAAGGCAGGGGATTGCCTGAGCCCAGGAAGCCAAGGCTTCAGTGAGCTATGATAGAGCCACTGCACTCCAGTCTGGGAACAGAGTGAGACCTTGTCTCGAAAGAAAGAGAGAG